GAGGGAGTATACTTGATAATCGTAAGGGATGAGGTGGAATGGACAATTGATAGGTGAATCACAAGTATAATATTAATGAGTAGGAATAATGATGAGTAGGAGGTTCATAATGAGAGGTAAAGGTGGAGGAATACGAATCGATAGCGCCGTAGAGAAGATGTTATTACGCTCATATTCATGGTGTTCGCACTAATTATATTAAATTAAGTATAGATCATACATGATTAATATTAATGATATATATTATATAACGGTATAAATAAAAGATAGAGCATTATATATACTATATTATCTATATCATTATATAGTAATTTGGTATGAATAAGATATTGACATATCAATAAGATTGGATATTATACAGCATAAATGAAAATCAGATATAAGGTATCCAAAAATTATAAATTGATAAGATAATGATAAATGTGGAATAATAGTAATAAAGACCGTATTTTATGCTACTAAACTAGGTATGTAGACTATAATCATGAGCATGAAATCGACTCAAAGGTCAGTAAGAGCAATTACCTCCTCTTTAAGAAACGAGCTTATAAAGTTCAAATATATATTAGTAGCATTTCCTCGAGCTTCAGTTTTCATAGTCACTCTCGTACGTACTATATAAAACTATATTATATAATATATAAATAATATATACTACTTTACTTGGATATTATATGGATATATATATATTCAGTATATATATAGTAATAACGAGGTTTAGCAACTGGGCTGTTTAGGGGTACGTAATTTGTGATACCCTAGGCTCCATTCTTGTATAGTCTATAGCTGGTAGTACAATATGATAGCATCTTTATTGGTCGCTTAGAATACGCTATGGAGGGCGACTTAGTTGACTAATCTTTGCACGTAAAATAACATACCTGTAAGCCCCTATTCAACTTGGGTACGGTTTCGGGTAACGTTATATCCGGATAAGTAGTTCGGCAACTGAAAAGAAGGTAATTTATGGAATTTCCGTTTTTTGTCAAAACTGTATATTAATATATATATATATATATAATATATATATATTAAATATAATATATATAGTAATTATTATATATATATATATTATGTATATATATATATAGTATTAAATATATATGTATATATAATATCATAATAATCTATATAATATATATATCATATATATACATATATATTTAATATAATATAACATATATACTATCATAATATAACATAACATACATCACATACATTGATGCACCAACACATACATTGATACATATATATAACTAACACTACCACCATTTGATTTAATAATAAATATTATGTTATTATTTGTGTGTGTGGTCATCGATTATACATACAATTTTAAGGTGTTTTTGTGAAGTAATGTGAATAGAAATATGAATTCTAGACCGAGATGCTCGTTACTATGTACTCATGTATTTACAGTAGCATAAACTAACAACGCCCACATTCGTCAATATATTTTTTTGAGGTATAACATGTGAGCCTAGAGTTCAATCTTATTTTAGTAATGAAAGAATGATAGATAGATAGATAACCGTTTATTAACACATTAAGAAAATTGTGCGATGGCAGTAAAGCTTGGTAAAGTATAGTAATGTATAAGAGATTTAAGCGCGAGCTGTCGTTAGATAACATGGCCTTCGTAAAGGTAATGGGTTGATATAGATGTGGTTTTTTCGGGTAATATCTGCTAAAAGATGTAAGTAGAGGAAGATTGAGAGATGAGGAAGAGAGAGAGAGAGAGAGAGAGAGAGAGAGAGAGGAGTAGAGAGAGAGAGAGATGGCAGTAGATGAAGAGAGAGAGAGAGAGAGAGAGGGGGGGGTGGCATATATAGTTGATATATAGGTTAGGGGGGGAGGGAGGAAGTGGAATAAGGGAGATGAGAGGGTAAAGTTTAGTTAGGTTATATATAATATAATTTAATACCCAACTAGATAATACTATATTATTACTCGATTTTAGGGAAAGTTAGAAAGCCGGTATTGACCTATATAATAAGTATAATAAACAGGCAAAACTAATAACATTAGTAAATGTATTAAAATTAGCTATGATTAGATTAAGGTATAAATTATATAATTATATAGATAGATCTGAATTATAAAATGATGTAATTATTAATAATCAATAATAACAAAGATAAAATAAAGTTATAAAAAATCGTTAATAAAAATTTAGAGGAAGGTTGGTTGTCGTGAGTGTAGGTTGAGGTAATGGATGGAATATGATAGTATAAAGGTAGTTTGTGTGTTAGACGTGTGTAAGCTGGGTTGTTCGTTTTATGTGTGTTGTGGTGAATGCTGTGTGGGTGAAATGTGTATCTGTTCTTTGGGATGTTCTGTTGTGATGGTTATCGTGTAATGAATTTCAAATGCATGGTGTTTGTGGTGTGTGTTGTGTAAATGTGTGTCGCTTGGTCTAGGCGTGGCTGTGTTGGTTATTGTTGTGTGTGTGTGTGTGTCGTGTATATATATACTCTACTTTCTTTAAGCAGTTCCTCAC